TTAAACTCGTGTTTGAGGTCGTGGAAGCTCGCTGATCCTCCGCTCGTAGTTGTCCTCAGTTTGTTGCCCCCCGCAAAGGTAAACCTCCATTTGACCTTAACTCATTTTAGTTTATATTTTGCTTGTGAGCAGAAGCTTTATGTGGATTTATTTTCTTTCCTCACTTGATTGCCTTGTCTCTTTTCTTTTCTTGATTTATTATTGAAGACTGATGATGAATTGTTTTGGTTCGAGCGGGCGTATGGATGTTGGAAGGTTGTTAGCCTGTTTGTTGTCATTGTTCGTTTTTTTTCTTCTTTCTGATTCTTAAAATATTATTGTGTTTGGTTTCAATACATTCTCATCAGTCTTAGCTTATTCTTAGGAATCTGCATTATTGCTTCACATTCGGCATCGTATTTTCATTCTCTCATCTGAAGTTGAAAGAATGAACTAAGATTGCCAAATATTTGGAGTTCATGTGTTGTGTTTGTGGTTGTTCGAGTTCATGTGTTGCATTTTCTGCCCCCGTTTAAATGATTCATGGGTTCCAAGATGATATTAAGTTTGGTTTTCTATCGTGAATATGTAGCTGAATCAGTTAGCTTGTGCTCATATGTTGCTCTATCTATTCGAAACTCGGTTCTCCTTGTCCCTCTTGTAAATGTGCACATTAAAGTGTTGTTTTGTTCGTGATGCGTCGTTTTGTCCGTCTTTTTTGTATACATTCGCCAAGCTGGTCTGCTTTCTCTCATTTTCCCCTCCTAACTGATGTCAATAGAGTCTCATTTTATAGAAGATCATGGTTTGCACTCCAAATTATTTCGTATTTAATGGTATACTCCCTTTAAGAATAGCTAGAGTCAATAAGAACTTTTCTATTTCTAAAGCTATCTGGAAGGACCCTGCTTTTTACATGAAATGTATTTATGTGGCTGTTTATGATCAGTCTTGATACAGATTTTGGAGGTTCTGTTAAAATCCTAAAATTAACGATGTTTGCTCTCTTAAATCGATTAAGTTTACCAATTTTTTTTCTCCATCATAAACTAGCATCTTATTTTTATTTGCCCCAGCCCTATTTGCTGCTTGTTTCTCCTTAGATTTCTTGTCATTTCTCCCTCCATTTGAGTATGTGGCTTTAATCTGATGAATCTTTTGGTAATACGATGTAGCATTGTTTTCTCTTCAGCTTAGCTAAGTTACTACCGTGCCTTGTCTTGATTGCTTTAATTTGAACGAATAATCATTTCAATACTTGTAGTGTTTCACTCTTTGACTTTATTACATACTTTGTTATCTTAGTAACGAGATAGTAAATGGGTTTCCTATGGCAGTGACATTTGGTTATAAACTCCTAGTATTAAGTGACATAATTTCTCTTGAAATTTTAGTCATTTATTTACTATTATTTCCTAATCTAATGACCACTGCCTCCTCTAATATGCTTACTGCTTCATGTCTCCTTTTACTTTGAAATTTGACTTTATTAAATCTAAGCTCACATGACTTTCATTGCCTTTGAGTATTATATTACGGTTCTTATTGGCTACCGTTAAATGAACTCCATTTAAAGTCGAGTGTAGATCAATCAAATTTCATATGGTTATCTCATTTGTTATATAATTGTGGGTAGATGCTAACTCTTATTTATGTGTCCTTTTCATGTGAAATCTGCTCCGAGTCTCTTTTGGACTCCATCTCTTCTCCTCGCATTTTCTTGTTGGGCCATGGAGGTCCACTTCTACTTCATCGAGTCGGCTAGCCCTAAAAATTGACGAACAGGTCCCGAAGTTGAAAGAAGCAACAAATCGAGAAATTGAAAAGATTATTGGGCAAAAGGCCCACTCTTAATTCAAAAAATTGTATTTTTGGGCCTAAGTCCACTTATTTACTATTATTTGTTAGTTCTTAGGACATGTGAAGGAATTGGGCCTAAGACCCAAAAGAAAGATATCTATTTTTGGTAGACTAGGACAGGTACCAGTGATTTAAATGGGCCCAAATACTAGCCCAGGCGGACAGGAAATCCAGATTTGTGCCCAAGTCCTTCTCTCTCTCTTATTTTACTGTGTTTGTTTACTCGTTTATTATCTGCTACTAATCTTAAGGTTTTAAAAAATTCAAATCCCCAAAAGACTTCCATTTTGAATTAATCACTTGACTAAATTATTCTTCTTTTACTTGACCTAAAAATAAATAAATAAATAAGTTTACAAAACACTTCACTTAGATATATTTCAACATTTTCCCCTCAAAATGGTCCTAAAATATAAAATTGTTCAATTCAAATTAAGTCAAATTATTTTAGCTAAATAATTAATTGCCGGATAACCGCATATTAGCGGGCGTTTTGGGTGCTTTCAAACCCTTTCCGAAATGTTAATATGAACCTTGAACCCCTTAATTATTTTCATTAGATTTTTTGTTTTTAATCTTTTGAAAAAAATCAGTTTTCTTAATTTTCCTTTAAAAATTAAGTGGCGATTCTAAACCAGTCTGAATTATATTTTTTTTTAAAACAGCTAGAATGCATCTTACTCAAAAGCATAAATAGTAATGTAGAATAACCGAAAGCTTGAGACAATCTAAAATAAAAGTATGAAACTAAACTTTAAGTCAAGGACTTTATCTACCAAATGGTATAAATATAATTACTTAATTTACTATCGGGTTATTGGGTTATCGGTCAACCCGTTAAGAAAAGCTTCAAACCATTAAGAATCGATAACCCGATAATAAAAAAAATCAAAACCGTTACCAATAAATCAATAACTTTTTTTATTCGGTTTTGAACAACCCTACTTTATACTCTCTAATATATATATATATATATATATATATATATATATATATATATATATATATATATATATATATATATATATTAAGTGGATTATTGGTATTCGACACATTCCTAAGAAATAGTTTAAAAAATATTTTAAGGACATAAATTAAAAATTACTTTCTATTATTTTTTTCATCCTCTTTATTGCCATTATATTGAAACCTTAACCTCCTTATTTCCAATAATGAACATTACTGTTGCTAATATCTTCAGCCACTCGGTCATTCCCAATGAGATAATTATTCACTATAAATTCCAAGTATTCTTCATTCCAAGAGGGTGAAATCAAAAGCTAAGTTTTGTCACCTATATTTACTCACATATTTTCCTATCGTGACATATGAGAGATGGAGAAAATACTATTCTTTCTTCTGCTGGATTTTCTATCAAAATTATTTTTTGTTAATTTTATGCTTCTTATTTTATATTAGAAGAGCTTGTTGAATTTTGAGAAATACATCTTTATCGGTAAAATATTTCTAAGAACAATAATGTCCTTGACATATTTCAAATTACGAGAATGAGAAGGAAGTAAAGTATAAATAATATCAAATAAAAAAACTTTTAGAAAATTTTAAGATAATAAAAATAAAAAAAGAAAGTAAAATAATAGAAATAAAAAATAAATTAAAACGAAGAAATTTAAAAGTAATTAATTACATAATGTAATTACTAGCAATTTACATTAGAATTAGAGAGTGTGATTTTCCCTGCCAATTACACTCAATTACCTACTTACATAGTAATTACATGGCCATAAAACATATTAGACAATATAACTACACCAAATTCAGTTACCAGAGTGACTTTCCAAATAGCCCCGGTGAATTGTCATAAATGTTTGAGAGTGAATTATTGTAAGTAGAGTATTCACCATCCGTAGAGAATAAATTAGTCAGGTTATAGCTAACGAGTCGAGAAGAATTTTGATAATTGGAAATATCAAACTCTAGGCTTTCTTAATCTTGTTTTCAATCTTATCCAATTTCGCTGCTTTAATATTTGTTAGTTAGGTATGTTTTTTAAAATAGAAATCCCAAACTTTAACTCTTTGAATTGTTTGAACTTAACTATTTCCTATTGATATAAAAACAATTATAGCTAAACTTAGTTCTATATAGTATTCAACTCCAAACTTAAAAATCGGATTATAACAACCTCTAATCAGAGAAGTTTATGGACAAGAACCTCCAAACTAACTTGGCTTTGTTTCAAGATATGAAGGAATCAAGAGTTTTTTTGGTTTTCTATCCGGTGTTCGGAGTCCAATTGGAACTCTAACTAAATCCAGATCGCGCTCTGCAGGACCCATTTGGGGGTGACGCTTCCAATAGGATTTTCTCCATATCTAGGGCTCGAAACCGAGACTCTCGTTAAGGGTGAAGTACTCCCACCAGCGCACCACAATCCATGTTGGCAAGGAATCAAGAGTTGAATGTCATTCGTTTTAACCTAATGTTAATTGATGATATAATTTTAGAGTTAGAGAAGGGCATCTAATACATAACTGACGTTGATTCAAGTGTATGCATGTTATGATGAGGATGCCAAAAAGTTTTTGCCTTTCCTTCTTATTTAATGAAAATATTCGGGCTAAAATATTTTTAATTATGATCTAATTTCGCAATTTTTTATTTCCTAAGGCATAAGTTAGACAACTTGTCTTTCCGACAAAAGTTTAGAGGACTAAAAAAGGTAATTTTGTGAGTTCTGAAATTAATTTTTTTATGCCTTATAAGACATAATTTGTGGCTTACAAATTTTCTATTGTATTTTATTTTTGGTAGGTGATTTTTTATGCCTTATAAGGCATAATTTGTGGCATACAAATTTTCTGTTGTATTTTTTTTTTTTTTGGTAGGTGATGAACTTGTAAGGCATAATGTTTTCAGATTGAACTTTTGTCTCAGTGTCTTGGAAATTTTACCTTGTAAGTCATAACTTATGAATTACTAATTTCTTAAGACATAATTTTCTGAAACTGAACTTATACCTTGTCAAGACATAACTTGTGTCTTGTGTTTTATTTTTATTTTTTATTTATGTACAGGGTATCTCCGCCCATCTTTTTATTAGTTGAAGTGATAGAGAACATCCGAAAATAAAAGGATTGGTGCTAAATGACCCAAAGAGAAGGAAAAGGCAAGGTAGTTTTTATTGGGCCCATGAGCATGCATGTTCTGTTATGGACTTGAATGAAAAGCAAAAGTCCATTTAAAACATATGCCGCAAATTACATACATTCTTCTACTTATAGAGTAGTAAATACATAGATACAAAACAAAAGACAAATAAGGAAAATGGGTACATAATGATTGAATTCAGATACTTCATTTGGACTTGAATGGGATTGCCCTGATCACAACTTGGTGGTATAGAGCCGCTAGAGCTGCCCCAATGAATGGTCCAACCCAGAATATCCACTGTACCAAAACCACAAATAATAATCACATGCATGTTACAAAACTTAATTAATTCCAGCTAGCTAACACTTGCATGCATGTTCTGGATTTAACTTTGATAGCATAAAATTACTTTAAAATGTAATTAGAAGTATCCACATTCTCAATAAATAAATGAATTTTTGAGTATTATGAAGATAAAAAGAGGAAAGAAATTTATAAATACGTACGTGGTCATTCCATGCGTGTTCATTGTTATAGATGACGGCTGCACCAAGACTCCTAGCTGGGTTAATTCCAGTTCCAGTGATTGGAATTGTAGCCAAATGCACTAGGAACACCGCAAATCCAATAGGCAATGGTGCCAAAATCTGTGTTATGTATTTTAATTACATCAATATTAATTTCAACGAACACACAATACTTATATACATTGATATTATTGCCCAGCAGTACTTACAGGGACATGGGAATCACGAGCACTACGTTTGGCATCAGTAGCAGAGAAAACAGTGTAGACGAGAACAAATGTGCCGATTATTTCAGCGCCCAGGCCATCACCCTTTGTGTAACCAACATTAACAACATTGGCTCCGCCGCCCTTAGTTTGGTAAAGTGTCTTTCCAAACGCTTTGACAACACCAGCACCGCAGATGGCTCCAAGGCACTGCATCACCATGTAGAATACTGCCCTTGTCAACGATAATTTCCTCGCTAAGAAAAGCCCAAATGTCACTGCCGGATTTATATGGCCCCCTGCACAACAATAACAACCAATTGATCAATTCATCTAACATCCCAATAAATTTATTCTGATTCAGATGGAGAAATGCACTGGAGTACCGATGTCTATTATGCACCCGAATTTATTTATATATGGACTATGGTAATGTTCATCTATTACCAAAACAAGTAATTTATGGATATTATTAGATTAGCAGGGCCGGGCCGAGTAGTGACTATGTACCTGAAATGCCGGCAGTACAGTAGACTAAGGCAAAGATCATGCCACCAAAAGCCCAAGCAATACCTTGAATTCCAACAGTTGAACATTTGGAATCGGATTTGGAAACCCCCATGACGGTTAAAACAGTGATATAAAGGAAGAGGAAAGTGGCCACGAATTCAGCAATTCCAGCACGATAAAAGGACCAGGACATCAATTCCCCTGGCTCAAACAGGGGAGCTGGTGGTGGCTCCTTGTAATCCTTGTCTTGACTCTGTGCTGCTATCCCAATTGCTTGCCTCTCTGAGTATTTGTTTGCACCCAATCTTACATCCTCTTCTCTATGCTCCATTTCTATTATGATCAACAAAAAGAAAAGTAATCTCAATTCTTATTTTCTTTACAACTGATGGAAGTGAGTGAGTGAGTGAGTGAGTGAATGAAAGGGGGTGGGTTTATAGTATTTACATTTTTTAGTAGGCCCCCCGGTGAGGAGCATTAATGGTTTAAGTTTCATTATCATTGTGACCGACCATTCATAATTCAGCAATTTGAATCATTATTCTTTTCATGCGGATAGGTGTTGAGTACTACAAAACAGTGTTATTTAAAAAAAATATAAATAAATAATTGTATTGTGGAAGGAGACGTTGGGTTTTAGGATTTGGCAATGTTAGGGCAACTTTAATTAGTACTTTTTTGAATAGTTAGATCCTAGTTGGCAAAAGGATGTCCATATGAGATACAACGTTTATTTGATAATGGGACCAGTCGGCCACCGCCCAATTTGGTTCTGTGGTGGAAATGGAAATACGGCCTAATGCCAATTTCTGATACCACACCTAACACTTCTGACTTGAGTTACCACTTACCACCCATTTATTTGTCACTCCAACTTGGGCGATTTTCCCCAAACTGTAATGCTCCGGTACGATTTTTTATTTTTCAGTGTCGGTAGATTTTGTGAAGAGTAAAGATCACGTTTTGTTTGTATTTATCTTGGAGGGACACATGGCCAAAACTTGTTTGTTTCATTTTTACAAATACCCAAATTCACTGCATTTAGTCAAAGATACAGAAACCAGAACGTTGTGGAATCACCTAGCATCATGTTTGTTGAGCCAATTTTGTCAACCATGTGCCTAGCATATATCACCGTTATAAACGACTTGAATGTTTCACCTAAGGTTTTAAATTTGAATCACAAGTATGAAGAAAATTACGTTGGAAGCATCACTACTAAATAGGTCATGTAGTGCGCAATCTAAATTTAGTTAGGACTTCAATGCGACTCCAAACACCATGTGAGAAATAAAAATAATAATTAATTTAGCAAAATAAATAAATATACGAGTTGTCTTTGAAAGTTGCAAAGAGTTTCATAAACACAGTAAAATTAACTTTTTACATAAGATCCCTTGGTCTTTGGTTTAGGTTCTAAAAATGTTGAGAAAGCGAAACCTTTGAGAAAAAGCAGCTAATACTGCACTTTTTTAGACCACAAAATATTGGTCGATTAATTTTTAGTTAGGTCCACAGTCTATTTCTAAAATTTTGATATTAGAGTTGGGCTATTTCTAGATGTGCTTTAATTGATTTCCGACCCCTACCTTATACATTATTTAAGATCCAAACATTAAATTCTAGGCGTGGAAGAGGATATTTGTTCCTACATAAGTGTGATAAATGAGAAATTGATCTCTTTAATTTATATAATTTTGGACAATCTTATATTATAAGTTTAATTTTTAAAATTGGATGAGCTACAAAATCCAATCTTGTAGCGAAAATTTCAAAAATAGCAACTATAATAAACATAATAAGGCTATATAGTTATAGTTTTAATAATATTGCTTAATAGTTATAGTTCTATTTACTATGGAAGTTACGATTTGTATATTTCGCACAGTCAGTATACTACGCTTGCCGATTTGTATATTTCGCTTGTGAGTATACAGATAGGGTAAGTATATACAAATTATGTATTCATATATTTAGGAATTTTTAGAACTCCGATTATATATCTTGTCAATATACAAACATGGTAATTTATTGTGAAATTTTCATAAATCGTATACAAATAACTTCGGTAAGCATATATAAATTCTGAATTTATACAATCAGGAGCCAAATTATACAAAATTATGATATATACAATCAGACGAATTATACAACGTAGGTGAATTATACAAACTAAATGAATAGCAAGATTTGAGGGAACTATGTCGGCAAATCACAATTTTTTCAAAACATTAGTTATAACATTTAATATCGTTTAAATAATTGTGATTTTTCAAAACAATAGCTATAACATTTAATATCGTTTAAATATTTATTATTCTGCACAATTTTCCCTTTTTTCAATCATCTTTTACTATGTTATTAATCTTTGTTAACAGATGGATTTCTAACTAAAACAAATTATAGGGTGAGAAGACAACAATAATAAAATTATGAACTATTGTCTCATTTATACTCGAGTTTACGTTCGTTCTTTTGCGAGCCAATGATTGATCTTTGCCAAATAAAATGGAATTTCTACGCTGGCGTCTGTAAAATGACCAAAAGAACACTGGAATACGTAGAATACAAAACTAAATAAATAATCATGCATGTAGCATGATAAGATCCTCCTTGTCCTTACCATTGGAACAATTATGGTTTAAGTATTACTATTGTTCACTTTTATATATCTGCTATATTAAAATTTGATGTTTATTTTATATATGTTCAATTTAGAAATGATTAAGAGACACCACTTGTTTATGTTAGTCAATCAAAAAATGATATATTAATGATAAAATTTATGTTTCATATTGTAATGTATCAATATTAAGTTTAATTAGTGGATACACTAAATCCTAATTTTGTTCATTATTTGAGTAGTTGTAATTATATGATGTTATAAAATATATAATGTATAAAATGTTGTAATATGCTTAGTTGTGCATTAGTCACAAGATTTCATGTCATTGATACAAAAAAAATGTTCAATAGTGTATCAGTCAAAATTTATATTATTCAATGTGTATCTGATACATTAGTATCATATTAAATGATGTATCAGTCAAAATTTGTACTAGTCACTGTGTATTAGATGCATTATATCCAATTTTAATATATAAGTATTAGATACAAAAGTTTTGGTTACTGATAAGCATAAACAAGTGATATAACATGTAAGTATTAGTGTGATTTTGTTTTGAATTATAATGTATCTTCTTTATTTTTATAATGTATCTTCTGCATTTTAAAGGGACTGTGAATTGTTTGTAGCTGCATTTGCTGAGTTCCTTAGCGATGAAATTCATATTACATCCAATGATTTCCTATTAGATTATATCCATACACGATATGCAGCCCTATTAAAGAAGTTCGGTATCGAAAAGGCCAAGGTAGGATATGTTAATGAAAATGAGGATCCATCAAAGCCTAAGAGTCAATTCACATTTGGTTAATGTTGAATAGAGATTATCTATCAGGACACCTTTTTAGAGTGTTATGGTGTTTAAGATACATTAGCTCTAGTTTTAGAGTGTTTGTTTTATTGTTTTAAGATACTTCTTTCTACTCAAGTATTAGAGTGTTTCTCTAAAAACTTGTTTATTTTTACTTCAACTTTCATTATATTTAGTTTTTATTTACAATATGAATTGTCTTATACATTTGTCTTATATAATCTGATACAAAAATGTCATAAAATTAAGTATCAGATTCATTCGTGCATACACATACAAAATTCTTTTTTCACATTAGTTCTAGTTAGTTGCTGACACATTTAACACCTAACCAATACAATGTACTCGATAACTTGATTGTTGATTCATTCATGTATATACTTGATAACTTGTAGTTAGTTGTTGATTCCTTCATACTGATAAATTGGACACTTAGTTGTAGTTAGTTGCTGATTCATTCATGTATTCAATTGATAACTTGATTCTTATTTATTGTGATACATTTATAGATACACTTTATTTCAGCTTACATACACCATTTTTTTCACAACTTTATTATATCAGATATATTATTATCAACTGTAAAATAATCAAAAAATGTATCTTATCAACTTGAAATCTTCCACAATTGCATATTATCTTTCAAGGCAAACAATGTATCTTCTTCTAGAATCATAGACTGAATAAAGAAACTTGGATGATGCAACAACCTGTTAACATTAAAAAATTAGTGAAACATTCCATAAACCAGTTATTTCTATGTATCAATCACAAACAACAAGACAACTAACTTATACTTAATATCTGATACAAAATATAAATATAATATGATACATACCCTCATTGTCGAATATTTTGATGTTTTTACAACAAATTACATGTATAATGTATCATCTATAAAATACAGTATTTCACAAACACAATAAGATACAAAAATAGTAATATATCATGCTAAATATTTGGTCATGATACAAGATCTGATATATATTAACTATCACACAGTAATGTGTTGAACTCTAAGCAAACATTTTACGTGTAAAATTTAATTATTTAATGTATCTAATTAATAGGAATACAATACTTATCAATTTATACGAGATACCTAAATACTAATGTATCGCGATTGATCTAGTCATCTCGAAAATACAAATAAAAAATCGAATTAATAACATAATATATTTAATTCAATACCTCTACTGTCAGATCTATTTTACGTTGAAATTAAAGTTCTGGTCTATTTTATACATTGCGAATCCAGTCTCATGTTTTTTTTCAGATTACTGAATGTTAGATCTATTTTATTTTTTTCAGATTCATGAATGTCTTAGTAAAATCAAAATATTCATAATGTATCTTCTCAAAAAATTTGATAATTGTGAATCAAATTGAAATCTTCGACGAACTGGGAGAAGAAATTGGAAATCCATCATTTCTGTATCATTCATAACTCACCTCGTTTTCCCAAATTCCTGAATGTCTCAACAAAATAGAAATATTCACCACATATCAGCTATTGTTTTAGACTATTTTGAATCTATTACGATTTGGGTGAGAATTGAGAGAAGAAAATTTGAATTGTTTGAAGCTGAGCGGATTTGGAAGAAAATTCAAAGAAATTTTTTTGATTTTTTTGAAGTTGGGCAGATTTAGAAAAGAATTGAGAAAATAAAATTTGAATTTTGAATTGATTGAAACAGCGTAAATGAATTTGCTTAAATGTATCGAATCTAATATATCCCGCTTTTGCTATGTATCAGGATAACACTAATTTTGAGAAATTTTTATAAATTAAAAAAAATAGAAATAGGATGTAATTTGCTCCTTACACTATGAAATTTATGTAAATTATAAAATGTTCCACACCAAAAAAAGTTGTTTATGTGATTTCTATTACTTTCAAAAATTCATAATAAAACTATAAGATATTATTTGTTTATGAAGAATAATTTGGATGCGCAAAATTTGAACT